AAGTGCATTGAAAATGTTCGTTTGTGTGGGAATCAGTTTAAAGACTCAGAAACTGATTACTAACTTGATTATAATCAAAACAAAATTACAGACTTTTTTCAGACGAGATGTAAAATGAATTTAGTCGGACGAAAAAAAAAATCATCACAGACGAGCTTTCTTTCTCAACAGTGGTGTAACATCGGCTGTACAACTTTCCACTAGTGTTACCGACTTGATGTTTCGATGCAAAACATGGAATATCTTGCGTAGAATCATGGGAAGGCTGACAGAAAGCGTCAGATAGCAGCAGCACCATTCCGTAAACTAAAGTAATTAGAAGTTCACTAGCATCCAATCGGCTGCATCGGGGGGTGAGAAGCAGCAGTAAGAGGGAATAGCAGCTATTCATATTTTGTGCTTTATTTTTGTCCAAACTATTCAAATTTAGCTTAGAAGCTGGATTTTCCGAGTCTTTAAGCCGCTATCCAGAAGCTAATGTTTGGACCTCTTTTTGCTCCATCTAATACCTCTGGTCTAACTACAGAGCGCAAAGTGCGAAGAACTCGAGATTTCGGTTTTGTAATGAAAGATTCTGTCGATACCACTAGAATTCTTTTCGCTTTATAATAGCGCACAGTCCTTGAGTAACTTTCTGGAAATTTTCGCGGATTCTCTCATGCAGTTGTGAAATACTTTTCCCTCCCAACCATCTAATGAAAAGCGCTAGTTGTAAACGCTCAGCTGCTGGGAAATTTACTACCTGTTTCGAAGTTTCTTGTCTTTCGGTCTACGTAACGTTACCCGCAAGAAGTTGCCAACCTTAGTGTCTCAACGCAGTCCAGTACCAGCCAGATGTTTCTCCAATCCATGTTTATAAACTGTCTTAAAGTGTCCTCATACAGAGCTTTACCGCCTGCCGTTACAGAAGCACGAATAGTATGGGAAAAGAGAAAGGAGCGATGGGCCCACACGCACGATAGCAGGGACAGCAAACTGTCAAGAGACGTGTGGATTATTTTATCCCCACTTCTAAAATCAGCCGCTTCACAGACTGAAAAAAAAATCTAGAAAACGATTTGCAGTTTGCACTTTCGCTAATGTCATTTCTGCATCAGAAGATCAAAATATGGAGATAAACCGATGCATGTGAAAATAAATGCGATCGAATAAGAGATTAGTAGTTTTATATTTTTGATTCGTAACTTATGCGTGCACCACCCCATCCAATCATTCTCGTTATGAATGCCGGAGCTATAAAAAAATAAGCATTCCAAACTTCTTCTGACGACAGCGCTGTGAAAAAAAGAAAAAAGTGGGAGCGTCTACGTCCTTGAAAATAATATAAATCATTGAGAATAAAGTGGAAGAGAACGGTGACAGGAGGAAAC